AATTGGAATGATGGGAATGTGTATGTGGATCGTGAGAGCTTGGCATCCATCAAGATCAACACTGCAAGTGCTTGAGAAAGTGATGGACATCTCATAATTAGACAATGTGATCATCCAGGGGTATGGAGAAGTGGGAGCTATTGTTTAACTAGGCAAGCATTTGCACTTGAAAAACCAGAGCTGCTTTTGTTTCTTCAGTACCAAAATGGTGTAACCAATAAAGTTTTACTTTTGGAAATTCAAACCTGCTGAGAGTGTTTCCTTATATTGGGTTCACTAGTCGAAAAGTTGACAGTATGTTTCCTACAGACATTTTTAAATTGATTGGCAAAGAGTTCAACTTTTTCTTCTGCTTGATTGGGTAGCCTGTAGTATACGCCTATAGCAATGTCATTTTTTCCCTTTTATAATGACCCATATGGATTTTAGGAGGTTTTCATCCTTGGTTTTGTCTATTTCTTTTCTCCAATTTGATGTGTAATTAATACCTATATATTTTCTTTATTAATTTTTCATCCATTTCAGTTAATATCTGGTCCAATTCTGTCAATTCTTTATTAAAACCATACATTTTAGCATTTTTCTCATATCAAGATTGTATCTGCACTTGTGGCCACCATGCTATATCCATCCCTTGACTATTCAGTTCTTGCTTAGTTTTTAATTCCCCCTTTTCATTCAAAATATCTTTATATCTTATATTTTTTCCATATTAACAACATTATGATATATTAATGCTTCCATTGTGGAAAGCCAGACAGGTATTTTCAAATAATATTGTTCTTTAATTTTTACCCATACTGATAGTAATTAATTTCTAATATAATGTCTTGGAAAATAACTATGTATCTTATTTTTCCCATACCATAAGAAAGCATGCCAACCTAATTGAAGGCCGTGTCACTCTAAAGTTAATAGTCTTTTATAATACTCCAATGTGTTTAACATCATCGTCATATTGTTTTTAATCTGCCTCTGGCAGAAATCCATTCCGATCTACATGTATAAATTCATTCAAAACCCTTTTTAATCTCTCTGCTATTATTGGAGCATCTATTTTGTAGTCCGCATTCAATAAGAATATTGATCTATAGTTCTTTATCGGTGTTAAATCTAAATCGTCTTTTGGTGTAAGAGTAATATTTGCTTCCATCCATGAATTTAGTACTTTTGCTGCTAGAACTTCATTATAAGCTTCCAACATAACTGGGCCTAATGCATCTTGTAAATGTTTATAAAATTCTGCCGGTCACCCATCTGGCCCTGGCGTTTTATTAGTCTTTTGTCTCTTAATCTTCTGTCAATTCCATCATAATTATTCGCTCGTTCAACATAACCTTAACTGTTTCGGGTACTTTAGGAAGTTCAGATTGTTCCAAATATTGTTTTATTCTGTTTTTGGGGGTTTTCTCCTGATCATACAGTTTCCCGTAATACCCTTGAATTATTATTTTTTATCTTTGTTTTGGTAATAGTCTCTTTCTCATCCATTAGACAATGTATCAAGTTTTTTTCCTTCTCTTTTTTCAGTATATATGCCAACCATCTTCCTGGTTTATTTGCCTTTTCAAAAAAGTTCTGTCACACTTTTGATTTTTTGTGCCAATTTTTTAAAAATAAATTCAATTTATGCTTTATTAAATCCATTTGATTTTTCAAATTCTTTTTCGTGGTTCTTTCTGTAATTTTAATTCTAATCTTTTATGTTCTTCTAACACTTTTTTATTTTGTTTCTTCTTATTTTTCTTATTCATGTATATTATGATTAATCCCCAAGTATACACTTTAGCAGTATCCCATATAGTTTGCAGAGAGGTCTCCTTTCCTGTTCTCTTTAAAGAAAAAGTCCAGTTCTTTTTCGATAGTTTGTATAAATTTCTTATCTTGCAATATTGCTTGGTTCAGTGTCCATCTCAATTTTCTTTTTTGTCCTTTCCATACAACTTTGACTGGATTATGATCTGCCCAAACATTTGATTCTATTTCTATCTCTTGCACATATGCTTTCAATTCTGATGACATCCATACCATATCTATTCTTGACCAAGATATATGTCTATTTGAATAGAATGAATATTGATTTTTCTTGAGGTGTGTTTCTCTCTATACATCTTGAATACTTATTTCTTCTGTCATTTTAAAGAAAGTTTTAGGGAGTGTTTTCCTAACTTTTTTACCTGTTTTACTACTCTTATAATCAAGATCTGCATCTACAATTGCATTGAAATCTTTTACCACACAGATATTTTCACATTCCAATTCTATAATTTTCTTAATGGAGTTTTCCATAAAACTCTTCTTGTTTATTGTTTGGTGCATATATCGCTATCAAGAGCATCTGCTTATGTTTCATTGTTACCTCCACCATCAATATTCTCCCATCCTCATCTGCAAAAATTTGTCTAGCATTTTATTCTTTAATATAGAAAGCCACATGCCTTTTTTGTTGTGCTAATGAAAAATATAATTTCCCAATTTTAGGATATTACAGTAATTTACTGTATTGTTTTTTTTAATGTCGACCTCTTGAAGACAATCAAATCTAGTTTTAATTTTTCTAATTTATTAAATTCTTTTCCTTTTCATAGGTGAATTCAGTTCAATTATATTAATTGATAATAATTTTGTTTCTTCTTCCATCATTTACTTATAGATAGGTTTTGCTGTTGTTCTTGCTTCTCTCTGTTCTTCTGCTCTTGCTCCTTCTTGTTCTCTTCTTTCCTTTTGCTGTTTCAGTTTCTTCTTGTTGTGTACTTCCCTTGCCTAATGGTTCCTCTTGTTTTTTATCATCTATTTCCTCTCTTCTCCCTTTTTCCTCATATGATGCAAAGTACTGGTAGTAGAATTGCTCTGCTTTGTCTTTTGCAGCCATCCTCAAACTACGGCCCGCCGACGCAATGTATCCGGCCAGGACTACTATTTCTCTCCCTTTATATTTCAATGAGTCATCTCTTGTTCTTTGAAGAATTTCCGCTCTTATTGCCTTCTTTGAGAATCTCACATGTACCTCTCTGGGGAGTTTATTCCTTCTTGCGTACCTTGTGTGTATTCTAAATATTTCATCCATTCCAGCAAACATTTCCCATTTACTTACTTCCAATGCATCGGCCAACAATTCTAGCATTTTTTCAGCAACATCTTCCCCTTTTTCCTGCTCAATATTCTGAAATCTCAAAAATATTTTGCTCTATCCATCTTTAGCATAATTATGGATCACTCAAGGTCATTGTCTACCTAGGTCAGCCTATAGTCCATCTCTTCCACTTTCTTATCTGTTTGTTCTGTTTTCTCTTCTACTTTCTGAATTCGTTGCTCACTTTTAGTAATTTGTCAGGATTCCAGCAGTTACTCCAATTAAATCATGAGCCTCGAGCCACACTCCCAAAACTAAAAAAGATTTATTTGAAGGTAGCATTCTACATCCAGCATTTACCTGGGCATAGCCAACTCTGAGATACATAATTCACTGTCACCCTTGATCCTGCTTTCCCCCCCACCCCCACCCCTCTGGGTTTATCATCCAATCAAAAAAGTCCATAACCAAGAGTCATCAATCATGCTCTCCAATTAGATTTTTTGCGCGGCAAAAGCTTCAGTCATCTAATCAGTGTTTGAAGAAAATATTAATGGAATGTACTTTCAATTCCACATTGCCATCTGCTCTTTGAAAGTCCCCCCTTCTTTCTGTTGTCAACTATAAAATGTGTATACAAAATGTTTTATGAGTTGACATAATTATTTCCTGGATGTTATCCATTTTATCTTCCATCTTTTGCATTTTTATCCTCCATCTTTTGCAATTTACAAGAGTTCTTGACTTTTTGTTCTCTGTCTTGAAAAATTAATCACTATCTTCCCTGTTTTAAGTTTGTCTCGAGAAGGCCTTCATTTCATATAAGTGATATCTGCACCTTTAATTGCCCCTCAAAGCCTACCGGGAACTAGTGCAGCTTTGCAAAACAAGGATTCTTTCAGCTTGATGAAAGAGTTCATGTATATCTCTGAAAATATCAGGAAATGTTTTTTGTTCTGACTTTCCTACTGTTTTTATTTCTGTACTGTCTTTATGAGGGATGATTTGTTTCATACTAAACACAGAATACTTGGGCCATCTCAAGATTTTCCCATTGGAACACAGCTTATTTAGAATATTCTGTTTAGGGCAATGGAAAATGGAGCAGAAGTGTTCAGAGATGTTTTAGAACTAGGGCAAAGAAAAGTTTTCCTGACATCAGGAATAGTTTCCAAGTAATTATAAGTAATAAGTAGTTTTTCAACATTGGAACAAACTTGTTCAGATAATACAATGGAATGCAATGCAATGGAATGGGATAGGGATACACTAGACTAGACTAGACTAGGACTAGAACAAAATAGTTTATTAGCCAAGTGTGATTGGATATACAAATAATTTTTCTCCAGTGCATAAACTTTCAGTGTACATACAAACAACAAAGTAATATAATAATAAGATACCAATAAGAGAAGATAGTAGAAAAGATGAGAAGTATAATGGTAATACAACTATACTATATATTATCTAACACGGTACTATGGGGATTGTCTGTCAGAAATGTTTAAATGTTTGAACATATGCTAGGTGGCTTTCTGTTAGGGATGCTGTATCAGTGGATTTCTGCACTTCTGTACTTAACAAAAGCATTGGACTAGATGATGTCCAAGGTACTTTTTAAGGCTTATACTCTAAAAGTTTTAATTTCATTATATCTTAGGAAACTGGGTTATCTTTACACATATTTAAGATTGTTCTATACTTAGAAAGTAAGTAATGCTAAGGTTTACACCCATGGATGATGTTATATTCTTAAAATTAGGCATTCTTATTTTTATTTGAGAGCTAGCTATCATACAATTGCTAATTATATTTTTGCATTAGAACGGAAAACACTTTTCTCCTAGACAATTTAATCAGCCTCTACAACATTTGTAAAATGTTTCATAGCTAAACACTGAAATAACTGTCTATTCTAAGTAGATACCTTTATTTCCTGCTCCAGAGTTAGATTTCTCTCCAAACTGTATTCTACCATTTCTGTGGTCACTGGGAACTTTTTTGGTAGTTCTATGCATTTTTTAATTAATACAGGATTGCAGCCATTCAGAAACTGGTATCCAAACATAAAATCTTCTTGCCAGTGCTGCATTACATATTCTAAGGAGAAAAAACAACAAAGATTGTTTTAGGAGTATTCCTGATGATTATCAAACAATTCAAGAAAACAGGAAAATGAAAATAATATTAAAATATATACTATGAAGTATTTTTGGTAGACATGCAATCTTCTGTAGGGTCTCTAATTTTAAATATTTATAAAAACAGGCCATATGTATATTTCATGCTATTTACTGTCAGAATTTGTAGTGATACAGCCAGCACACTAGCAAATAATTCAGCAGGCTTCATTATATACTTCTTTATATACAATAATATAAAACATGATGCAATTTCTAGAATCATCCAATCATGCATTTCAATATTTCTGCCCATCATGCAGACCCAAACTGGACAAATATATTGCCCTGTTTGAAAGAGTTGATACCATAGAAACATGAATAACATCCCTTGACACCATAGTAGCATCCCTGGACACTTTAAAAGAAAGATTAACTAACCTTGAAAAAAAGACACAACACAAAAAACCGAACATCCAATAGCTACAAACATCTCTACCCAACAACCGCAACCCAATCCACAGAAAACCACAAATCCAACAAATAATGATATCCCAATCCTCATCAAAGAAGCTGTCGAGAGCAAACGGAAGCATCCAAACGCCATCTTATTTGGTCTAGAGAACAACAATGACAATGATGACATCACAATTGTCCGCAACATCATCAGTGACTATCAAACATCAACCAACCCTGATGAAATACTTGACATTTCCAGCTTCATCCCAGAGTTCAAAAACAGTGATGGCTTGGTGGCCTCATGCCTCTGCAGGGTCATTTGCAAAAATGAATCAAGCAAACATAAATTCTTTTACACTATAAATTCACTCCAATGCTAAAAGCAACACCAACCATAAGAACCTCCATTTACCAGGACAGGAACTGGCAAAATGTCCCGACCTTCCACAGTACAGGCACAGGCCTCCCTGAAATCTCCGCGTGCGTTCTTGTGCCGTCAACCGAGGGCGGAGCGCACCCAACTCCATTGGTTCCTCGATCCTGGTCACGGCATTATGGGGTACCAGGGGCGGTAGTTGTACGGGAGGTTGCGGCCGTGAGTGGGAGGGCGGCTCCGGAACTGGCCGTCTTGCGCCGTTGAAGCCAGGCGTCAATGCGCAAACATTGCACCACTAGCGCATCCAGGGTTAGAGCCGGCTCCACATGCACCAACTCATCTTGAATTTCTTCTGCCAAACCCTCCTGAAAAGCATCCATGTGGGCTGCCTCATTCCAAGCAGAGCAGACGAAACTCTGCAATAAACTCTTGTAAAGGGTGTTTCCCCTGATGAATGTCCTTTAAACGTCTGGCTACGGTTTGAGTTTTTATGGGGTCCTCATACATAACACATAAATGGTGCCAAAAGCCCTGATAGTCATTTAATAAAGGACTATATTGCAGCAACAGAGGAGTTGCCCATCTTGCAGCCGAACCAGACAAAAGACTAATAACAAACCCCACCCGAGCCCAGTCATCAGGGAAATCTTCTGGCCGTAAAGACATAAACAGTTGACACTGCCCCATAAAAGCCGGGAACATTTCAGGCTGTCCAGAGAATTTATCCGGCACAGCTACCGGGCATTTCCTATGGGGGGGGGAGCAGGGGGATTAACTGGAGCTTGCATCAGCGTTAGATGATTAACCAACTGGGTGACTTGGTTCTGCAATACCTGGCTATTCTGCAGGAGTTGGTTAATCTGCTGCTGTTGCTGCTCAAGCTGTGTTTGGTCCATCTTGGTTAGAAGATGGGATGAAGGTCTGGATCAAAAATGTTCTGTCTCACTTGTAGCCACAAGTGAGAGTCCAAATGTCCCAAAGAAATAAACACGAACAAATAATACCAGAAACCACAGAGTTAACTTGTCTCTGTAATCGTCGTTGGCAGCTTTCCCAGAAACTGTCTTCAAGCCGAGATAACGAGCCGCAAGATAAATCATGAACAGAGGGCTTCTTCAAAGCTGCACAGTAATTAACGAAGTTTGATCCAGACAAGGACCGTTAACTAACACGCCTCCTTATATTCCTTGAAGGGGCGTGTCAGTCTCTCTAATTAGTCTCTGACTTGACGTTTCTTTTCAAATTGTCCTTGACGTCTCAACCTGTGTCTAGTCCTTGCATTAACCCAACATTCGTCATCACTCAAGGACTCTGGTATGTTCTGTGGATCAGCTGCTGACACCTGAGGCATGATTGAAGTGGAAGGTTCTGGAGAGGATGGTGTTTCCGACACTCCCTCATCCTCCTGGCTCACGTCTGCATCTCTCATTAGAGCAGGCTCCAATTCCAATGCCAAACCTTCCTCATCACTCGAACCTGTGTCTTCTGATACATCAGACTCAAAGCTCACAGCAGGCTCAAACCTTCCAGTCACAACACTTCCTTATAGTTTCTTGAGTCATACCATACCTTACACACCTGTACTTCACTAGCAGAATACCTGTCAGGTGGAATCCCCTTGTTTCATCGTTCTGACCTGCGTGACATTAACTGCTCTTGTGTTTCAACCCTCTCGCTTCATATCTGAGTCATCATCTTCTCCTGATATCTTTTCTTGCCTTTTTTCAGCTTCTTGTCCACTATGACTAGTGCATACTTTGCTCCTCCCAAACTGGCTTGCATTGGCCCAACCAAATCTGCATCTACCAGCTCCAGAGCTCTTATTGTCTGCCTTGTGCTACTCTTGCTTATTGGGAATGCTTGGACTTTGATGATTTACATATGGCACAGTCCAAGTATGCCTTACACCCCTTTAAGTTTAAACCTTCTGGAAACTGTTGCATCTTTTGCAAAATTTTGAAGCTGGCATGGCCAAGCTTTCTGTGCAAGAGATGAATGCATGAATCATGTTGTGCCACATTTCCAAATGTTTGGGCACATTGAATCTTTTGTCCCTGCAACACATAAAGATTATCCTGTTTTACGCCCTGTGCACATACACTCCCATTTCTTCTTATGAGACATCTCCCATTTATAAATGTGGTTTCGAACCCTAGACTAGAGACATTCAGTAAATTACACTCCATTTCAGGCACACATGTTACTAAACTTTTCCTCGAAACATGGAATCAGCACACTGCCTTTTCCTATGACTTTAGCCTTCTGGCCCTTTGCCAAGGCTACTGCATCTCCTCCAGATGGATCCATTCTAAAAAACAGTTTTGAAATTATTAACAGTTGTTTGACTAGCCCCACTGTCTATTTGTCTGTGCTATTACAATAGCTAACTTTTGCAACAGCCGCTTGTCCATCTGTTGTTTTTCTTCCTTGAAAACAGTCTTTCTTTAAATGAATCTTATCACCACAGATGAAACACTGTCATTGTTCCTGTTCTTCCTTCTTAGAAAATCTTTGCTTGGCTGTAATCTGGTCTTTTCTGTTACTCTAGTCTTTGCAGACATCCAGTCTTTGCTTGCTCCTTGGGCCTTACACCCCTCAGGAATTTCTCCTTGTGTCTTCTACTAAAATGGCGTTTGTCTTCTTCAGAAATCAAGCAGGCTTTAAGGGCTTCCATACATAATTCCTGTTCTGGTTTGCATTAAAAAATGGCTGAAACAGTGTCTCATGTTTCATCAAGACTGTTTAAGACCAACAGCACTTTCTGAGATTCAGGAATCTGCATTCCACGTTGTTCTAACTCAATAAACAGAGCCTGCATGTGCAGCAAATGCTTCTCTTCACTCTCTTATGGTAGTAGCCAGGCTCTGTACAATTGTCTTGATAATTGCACAATATTGTATGCTGATGCACTCACATGCACACTTCTCAATTTCAGCCAAACTTCCTTTGCAGTTTTTAAATCAGCTACATTCAAGAATTGTTCATCTTCCAAACTTAAAATGATGTAGGCCAGTGCCTTATCATGCTGCTTTTGATCTGCAGCTGCTATTGGCCCCTGGGATGGATTAATAACAATATCCCAGAGCTCTTTAGCCTTCAAGAAGCATTCAATTTTTTGCAGCCCAAATAATATAATTCTTCTGTCCCAATAGAGGCAGAGAGCTCTCCTTGAAATCAACAGCCATTCTGCAAGCTTTCTTAGCCTTGTTCTCTTTTGTTTATAATGCAGGCTGTCCCTTAGCTTGATTACAGTTCAGTCTTACTGTTGTTTTGACTGGCTGGGTGTGCTCTGGGCCCATAATTTGTCAGAGTTTGTAGTGATCCAGCCAACACACAAGCAAATAATTCAGAGAAAAGAGAGAGTAGTAGCAGCAAGTACAAGAAGAAGCACTCAAGCAAAAACAAAATGAATTCTCTTATACACAGAACAGTTATGCTAAACCACGCCCAGGCTCCAAGCCGTCTCACATGACTCACACAACAAAATTCTGTGTTTTAGTCACCAAACAGTCCCCATTGGCTGACTTGTTCCCATGGCTATTCCAGTTTATGAATTCTTATACACTGACAATTACTATATGTTACTTACTATTATACATTACAGGTAGTCATGTAACAGCAGTAAATGCAAGCTAATTTACTGGAAGCTAGTAAATGCCAAAAATATGATTACTTGATGGGGGTGGGTGGGTGGAGCCATTAGAACTTCAAAAACAAGTTGTAAGTACTTCTGGGGGGATTATTCATAATTTCCAGCATATGCCAAGTGGCTGGTCATTAAAGAAGGACTCCCCACAACAAATTAAGAAGTGAAGGAGAGGTGGAAGGAATAGGAGAAAGAAGAGGAGAGAAAGGAAATGGAATGATTATTCTAAATCAGCAGCAGCAACTGTTATATAACATAAAGCCCCTCCCATCACCGTAATAGCACCATGATATCATAGAACATAGAACATCATCAGAGTTGGAAGGGACCTTGAAGATCTTCTAGTCCAACCTCCTGCTGAAGCAGGAAACTCTATACAATTTCAGACAAATTCAAATTCAGTCTCTTCTTAAAAACCTCCAGTGATTGAGCAATTTCTGAAGGCAAGCTGTTCCACTAGTTCATTGTTCTCACTGTCAGGACATTTCTTCTTCATTCT